GGAATTCGGTCCAGCGGATATTGAGAATCGATAATTTAAAGCATTTTCAATTAACTGACTCGCGTATAAATACACAGGTCTCAGTGCTGCGCGTGAAATTGGTATGAAAGCATTGTGTCTCTTGATCTTCAAGATTTCTTAATCTAAAACTATTTGTGTCTCTTGATCTTCAAAATTTCTTGATCAAGATATCAAAACTTATCCTTAATATATTCTTTTCAAAAGAAAAAAATTATAAATGCTTATAAAAGCTTTATAGTACAAATTATTGTAAAAGATAAAAATAATTTTAAAAATCATCTCCAAACATGCATTGATATTCAGACCAATATAGTATTAATGCAATAAAATTTAAAGTATAGTCTGTTTTTCTTATTTCTTTTAATTCTTTTTTATATATCTATTTAGTAGAATATATCACAAAGTATATAGGAATAATATAGCTCGAATATTGAGTAAAAAGTTCAATCTCTTAAGAATCATTAATTTTGGGATACAAGTATTATAATAAGTATTATAATATTCTTTTTTCTTATTGTTAGTGTTCAACGCATTCTATTCACTTTTAGTATGACAAAATAATTATTATATTTAATAATATGCATTTGAGACTATTAAATTTCTGTGTTCGATGTTTTGATGATTTTTGAGTCCTCACTTATTGTGAATTTCCTTCTATTCCACAATGAACTTCTTCCAAATCCTTGAAAAGATATTTTTCTAAAAAGATATTTTTCAACATAGTTTTAATATTTATAAATATTTATAGATTAAAATGAGTTATTTTGTATACGAGATTTTTGTATTTTGACATTTACGAATCAAAATATTATAGCAGGAAAATTTTTGAAAAATTAAATAATAAAAATTAAATAATAAAAAGATTTGTGATCTTTTATTTCAAATAATAGTTTTCAAAACATGAGAGTTTAAAATTAGTATAGATTTTGTTAGACAATTCGCCTATTTTTGAGCCACATGTGCGCTAAATTAGTAACGTATGTCCATGAAAAAGTAATTGTCTAAATATTTCTCAAATACTTTTATTTTTTTTTGAAAACTTTCCTGTTATACTATGTTGATTCTCGAATTTCTGGACATCCTATGTATCTATATAAAATGCCTGAAATTCAATATGTATAATAAAATGATAGCATAAAAATTCATGGAAAATTAAGTAAGGAAGGTTTTGGTTTTTATTCCAAGAAATAATTTTTTCAAATATAAAGACTTAAGGTTTCATCAATTATAAGTTAGCTAAAGAACATCCGAATTGTGATATTAATTGCTAGACATTTCACTAATGTTAAAAAAAAGTATTATTGCTCATACAGTCAGATAGGTGATTCTTTAATTAATACTACTATGATTGATCACAAGTACATTAAATCTTTATATTTTTAAAAACTATTTTTTTTAAAACTATTTTTTGGAATAAAAATAGCATGCACTTTTATCACTTTATTTTTGACATTTGCATGTTGCAATCTAATTATCTTTAAATTTCAAGATATTCTATATATATCAACAGATATTCTATACAAATCATAGTTTTATTAATATATTTTTAAATTTTATATATAAAAATAAAAATAAATTGTTTTAGAAAAATCTTATGAAAAATATATAATGTCTCATATAAGTATATATTAATTGCATCGTACTCCTTGTTAAAAATGAATAAGCAACTTTTTTCTTCGATAAAATTTCCAAAAATATGTTATTTTAAAGATATCTTATTATTTAAACATGTCATCCTTATTAAAAAAAGAAATTTAATGAATAATAATATAATAATATAATAATTATCTCATCTATTTAATTATTTAGCATTATCTACTTTATGTCTTTTCCAAAAATATCCGGATATTCTAATGATAAAAATTGGAGATTATATTTAAGATTATATCTTTATTTCCTTCTATAATAGAAACCGAAGCACTTCAATTCTATCTAATAATGATTGTGTACAATTTTCCATATTTGCAAGTGCAAATTGTAAAATGCAGAAAAATTTTATGAACATATCGAGATTTTCATATGAGTATACTTCATAGAAATTAATTAAATGGAAAAAGAATAAAATAAATGAAAGGATATCAAAAATTACATAAGTAATATCTATTTTATTTATATTATAAAAACCAGAATGTGCACACTTTATAAGAGAATTTGCTATAAAAAAACTTGTTTTATATCAATTTAAATATAAAATATTTTGTTTTATTATAAGAATATAAATATTAGACATAACTATAATATAACAGAATTATTATTATTTACATATATTAATTACATATAATATATTATACATAATTATACATAATTATACATAATTATACATAATTATACATAATTATACATAATTATACATAATTATACATAATTATACATAATTATATATAATTATATACAATTTTATAAACTTTTTTCTCGGGAATAATTATTTACGAAAAAAAAATCATGAAACAACATTATATTGGTATATTAAAGAATTAGATATTTAAGAAACGACACATTTTCAGAAATTTTTCAGAAATCAAAAAAAAGAAGTTTAGTTTTTCAAGTTTAACAAGAAGTTAGTTTAACAAGAAAGGTTAGTTTGTAATTAGGTTACTTCGGGGTCTCTCTTTCTATGTATTTTATTTATATAAAATACTCAGTAAATATTGCTTGTTGCAATAATATAACATGTAAGTAATACATATAATAATGTAACGCAAGTTACCTATATGATGTAAAGCTGCAACATATACGTATTATTTTGCAATATTGCAACAGTAATGTACAAAATATATATTATCACAATATAACATTATTATATACGTGTTTCTACACTTGCCGCTATGTGGCGAAACCAGATTTAACTTGTATTTAATTTCTCATCATGAATGTATATGAAGGACAGGTACTATAACATAAAATACAAAGTCTCTATCTTTTTTTTATTAGTATAATTTGTAGATTCCAACAAGAGATTTAAAATATTAAATAAATTATTTGAAATTGGATAAGTAAATGGGAAACAGTTCAGTTACTACTTATTTGAAGCAAAAAATCGATTTTTTAATTAGATTAAATCTTGAATTTGTTATAAATTAAAAACATGTAATTTATTTTATTTATTTAATTAACAATTTTATATACGATCAATATTTTAACTAATTTTATATGGATTATATATGATATAAAAACAATATAATATCAATATAATATCCGTTATATGACATGTTACATTTATAAGTAGGAAAACATAATTAATCAGTAAGTTATTACCAATATATTATTTTTTATTACGTTTTATTGCTTTTATATAACATTAATGTAACTATTTGCTGAATACTCTACAACATACAAATCAATCAACATGATATTAGTGAAAGATCTATTGAAGAGATCTGTTGAAAATATCTATTGAATACGAATTGAAATTAATTATTTAAGAATATTGCTAATAATATTGCCAATACTTTATTTTCAAATAAAAATAATGTATAAACATACAAATTTGTTTTGAAAAAGAAATCTCGATACATACATGATTTCTCTTCATTAATTTAAATATTTTACATGCAAATAAAATATTTTACAATTTAAATATTTTACAATACATAATTAAAACGTTTTAGAACAATTTAAATTATTTTAGATTGTTTCATTAAATGGAACAATGACAACAAACAAATTTTTTCTATTTATATTATTATTATTCAAGACAATAATAATAATAATATAAAATATAAATATGAGATATAAATATGATAATATAAAATACAAAATTGGTAGAAATGATTTGAATCGAACAAAAAAGTTTTATTAACGTCTTAATTTTTAAAGTCATCATTTTTTCAAGAATAAAGAATTTTTATGTAAACAATTATATTCTACGTTTCGATTTACTTCTATACGAAAAATCACTTCCCGATTGTATTGAAATTTCAAATGGATTTTATGTTTTGATAAAAATGTGTTCAATAAGTTTGAAATGATTAGTAAACTGTATCAACTGTATGTTATATATATAATTGTAAATTATAATTTATTATGAATTAAAGAAAATTTTACTTAAATAATTTTATATATAAAATATTTCTATCATTAATTCTTAAAATTTTAACATTTTTTTATATATATTAATAAAAAACTATTATCTATAATATCATTATAATCATAAAATATTTTTTCAGATAGTATTTAAATAAAAAGCTAAAAATACTAGTTTTCATAGTATGGACATTTAGGAATGTTTCATTATGCTATTCTCTATCGCATCTGTTTTATTATCGTATGCTTTATTTGATGTTACAGAGCCAACAGTTTATACAAGCGCGCGTGCTATCACACGCGTCAGTTTCATGAGCCAAGTACTTAACGCCAAACAAAATGTGGATAGGAATCAGGTAGGTACACTTGAAGAGGCGTAAACTATGGTCGCTCACGCTGCACTGCTGTCGCCAATAGCCCATGCGAATGTGACTCCGCCTCTTAAGCATGGCCAGCCTTCTTCTCCCAATCCTTCAGCTTTAGTCGGTTTTGATCATTCGATTACGCTCGCAGTCGAGCGTGCGTATGAATGTTTATGCGCGAGCGTGTAAATAAATGTGCATTACGCATATAAGAATGTTCTGTAAGACCGAATGCATTTTACATGATCGTCCATCAATCGGCTGGTTAATCATTTGTTGCTTTTTTAAACTATGGGTTTTGTGGTCCTGTTTTTATAAATTTTCTCTTTCTTTTAATATTTCACATGCTTATAAATATAGTATGAAGGCGAAACTTTAATTCACCTATAAACACCTCTTTTCTTTTTAATTTAATCAATATTCTTTTAAATACTCGTATAAGATACTTTATTGTAAGAATGCATATGTGTATGAGTAGAACACATTTAGGCGGGGACTTATGCTTTAAGAGGCGTGTAGAGGGATTTCTTATTGCTGCTCTGGTAAATCTGTCGCTTCAGTCAGTGAGGCAACGAAGGGCGAGCCGCGCACTATTGACTGTATCCGTGCTTCCTTTTTCGTCTACTCATTTGCCAATGTTACGATTCGGGTGTACGCAAGCAGGACAGTGCGGTGTAATAGTTTACGAATCTAATCTTATTAAGTCCGCGCTTTTATTTTGTGCTATGTATTCCGTCATTATTATTAAATTTTTGTACTGCTATATATATAATACCGCAAAATAATAATAATTTCATGACTTTTTATTTTTTTTTAGTTTTTTTTTAATTTTAAGATTTATTATAACTATGTAACTGTTACGTATTGATATATAATTTATTAAATGTATTATTATTAAAATATATTCATACATTCATGCGGCAATTTATCAAAATATACATTTTTATGATATATTTGCAATTATATAAAAATAATTGGAAAATATATAAAGAAATTGTAATATTATAAATATCAAGATTATAATGTGTGTGTATGTGTGAGTTATTTAAATTATCAAAATTATATAAATATTTGCGTACACGTGTGTTTATGTACGTGCATACACACGTGTGTGCTATGTGTACCGTTGTCTTTGTTATGTGTCAAGCAATGTGTTTGTGATTACAAATTTTATATCGAAATTTTCAGATCTTTATAATTTTGCTATCTGAAATATTGAGATATTTTTTCACTGATATTATTTATAATTATTTATGCAACTTTACGCAACACTGTCTTGTATTGGATTATTCATTATTTATAACTCGGATATAGCTTGCGCAAGAAATTAAGTTGTGATAAAATTATGTTTGGAAAAGTATAACGCACATGGCAAATGATTACCAACGAAAAACTAACAAAAATCTTAAATATATTTTGAATATCACACGCGCAACACAGAAATTTACTTTATATGTAGCCGACGGCTGCTGGATTAAACATCTTTTCCATGGATCCGATCATGCTAGGTGAGCAGAATTCAATTAAATACTTAAATTACTAAATGTTACAAATTATGTCTTAATATATATCTAACTTAATCTATATAACTTATATAACTTAATCTATATAATACAATCTAAATAATAATTAACATAATTAGTCTAATGCATTATTTATTATAAATATTTATCATAAAAACTGTGATCAATTATTTATGTTATCATTTAATTCTGTGTTATATTTATAAAATTTTTATGACATTTATATATTTATTCTTATATATATAAAAAGAAGTAAAAATGTCATAAAAATATTGCAAATAACACACACACACAAACACACACACACATATATATACATATAAACATACATATATACATACATATTTATATACGTACATATTTACACACACACACACACACACACACACATACACACGTTGTATTATTAGATTGTGTGTGTGCGTGCGTGCGTGTGTGTGTGTGCGCGTGTGCGTGTGTGCGTACACATTATTTTATGTATATACGCACATTTTTCTTGTTTAAAAGAAAAATAAACATAAAAATTATATAAATATAAATAATCATTGTATTGAATGTTTAAATTATAAAATAATCTTCAATAATAATGGCTTAATTCTTAACATAATGTATTTCCTACATTTCGAAATCAATAATTTTATACTATAAAATTAATTTTATACTATATAATTAATTAACTTAATGTTATTGCTGTTTGTATGTATGACATACGGCTCATATGTTTGATATAATATATTTAGTTATAAAATGGAAATTTACTTATTGTATAAAATAATATAAAAAAATATGTATAATTAGTATAATAATTATAAATATAATAAAATGAATATATAATAACAAAAATAAATATACAATAAGATTATTATAATTCATACATATATAAATATATTTTTTGACATGTGTATATATATACACACACACACACACTCACACATTTTAAAAAATTTCTACTTGAATAAATAAGTGACATTATATAATATACTATGTAATATTGATAACATAAACTACAAAAGCAGAATAGGTGAATCTGATAGATTTTTTGACGCTGAAAACGAATATATATATATATATATATATATATATATATATATATACATATACATATACATATATATATACATGTGTATATATATATATATATATATACATTTTATATATATATATATATATATACATTTATTTAATTATCTATTTACTTATTTTTTTATTCAACAGATTCGTTTTCAGCGTCAAAAAATCTATTAGATTCACCTACTCTGCTTTTGTAACTTATGTTGTATATATTATGTATATATATATATATATGTGTGTGTATATATATATATATATATATATATATATATATATATATATATACAAAAGAAACTATTTCAATGTATGAATTATTAAATCTGAACTATTAAATCTGAAATAGTTTCTTTTGTCATAATAATGAACTATTAAATCTGAAATAGTTTCTTTTGTCAGTTTCTTATTTATGTTATTCTATGTTTCCTTTCCATTAATTTTACGATCGTTAAATGTTCGATATAATTGAGCTATAGTTGAAATAAATCCTATGTGAGACAAGTATATTGAGTATACTGAATATGTGAAATCTTATCTTCAGGTACATAACTCCTGCAATTTATATAATAATGATGTGATAGTGCCGTGTAAATGTGAATGTGTTAAATAGGATACGCATTACAAAAGGAATTATATCGCAAAGTTGAACGAGAAAGTGATATGATTCACAATAAGAGAGTAGGCACTTGTAGCAGAATAAAATATTTAAATTTCCTATTCATGTTTGATTTACAATATAAATATGCAATATAAGTGCAATATATGATTTATACAATATAAATACGCAATAGAAGTGGCGAATTATTTTTTTTTGTTTTAATAAGTACAAAAACATAATAACATGTTTAATAAGTATAAAAACATAGTAACAATAAAAAACTATTAATTAATAATTATATTACAATTATTTTTTTAATAATAATAATATTTCTTTATTACTATAAAAAAATTAAAACATTACATTATCTCAAAGCAGTTTTAAAACATTTAGTACACATGGGATTTTTATTTTTATTTATTTATGCCATTATTTTATATTTAATATTCTTTATCATGGATAATCTCATTAAATATCTTTCATTTAAAAAATATACAAATACAATAAATTTTTTAAAGAGACGAGTTCATATATGAGATTTGTAATTAATTATAATATATTCTATAAAACTTCACGGGAATACAAGAATATTTTTTTTGTAAATAGCATTATATTTAATATAGGAAATATAAAAATAATTATAACAATGTATTATAATAATATAATTTTATTATTTAATATAAAAGAAATGTAAAAATAATTATGACAAATTAATATAATTAAATATAGATGTGTAAAAAATTAATACATTTGACATTATATAATATACTATGTAATATTGATAGCATAGGCGAGAATCAGTTTAAAAAAATCAGAGTAGGTGAATCTGATAGATTTTTTGACGCTGAAAATGAATCTGTCCGCAGAATTTCCTCAACATGTTAGGTTTTCGAATAATTTATAGCTAAATAATTCAAAAATGGCAAGTTCGACAAATTTCATGAATTTATTATGGAGGAACCTAATTTTTTGAGATATTTCTGTCAATGGCATCATATAATACTGATCTTCACCTTTCAAATCCACTTTCGATTATCACTGTATGATTTGTTTTCGCTGAGATATATAAGTATAAAGTCATAAGAAAATTTACGCAGAGGCAAATCCACTAGCTTGATGTTTATAAAGCCTTATATATGTCAGGTTCGGTTGTCTAAAAAAGTCCTATAAAAATATATCTAATACAGTTATACATTTTAATCAATTTTTTTAAATTTTACATCTTTTTATTATGATTCTGTCCGCCGTATTGGATGCACCATTTTTATTTTCAAAAAACGATTGGTGATGTTAAAAAATTTGTTTTTAAATCAATTTTGATTCGTGGTAAAGAGAGAGGTAACATGGTTGATTTGAAATGGCTTATTGGATCACTATGCATGAGTCTTATATATTGTATATTTCAGTGAAAAAAAATCGTGCGGCGGCATTAAAAGTGGATTTGAAAGGTGAAGACTATACGATGCCATTGGTAGAAATATTTCAAAAAATTAGATTGCCTCATCATAAATTCATAAAATTTGCCGAAATAGCCATTTTTATTACTATTTAACTACAAATTACTCAAAAACCTGACATAGGAGAAATTCTGCGGCCAGATTCCATTTCAATATCAAAAAAATCTATCAGATTCATCTACTTTGCTTTTTGTAACTATCTAAATTTTAAATTTTGCAGGCTTGTGTAATTAGTTAAAGTCTTATATAAAGTAATTAAAGAAAAAAAAAGATTTTATTTTACAGATTCTTTATTCTTATAAATTTCATCTGTCATTATGCTAGGAATAAATGGAAGAAACTTGAAATGACTTCATATACAGTTTTATTAATGATTTTTTAATAAAAGTAACTAGAAACATAATAATATGTTATTATAAAATGTATTATATAAGTATTGATAAAATTACATTTCATACAAATTATAAACAAAACAAAAAATACACACTATTTATTAACAGAAAATCCACTGGTCAAATTAATCATCAACAATAATAAAATTTAGATATGATGTAGCATAATTAGCAATAACATAATTAAGCCGTCTTTTATTGACGAATCATTAATAAAGTTACGTTACCTTCTTTTTATTTGAGACATCTGTTTTTATTTGATATAAACGAGATAATAAAATGATGGGTAAAAAATTTTTTATAGAATATTTGTTAATAATTATTTATAAATTTGATAACAAAATTATTTTAAAAATATTTTAATATAAATCAATTCAAGAATATCTTAATTATTAATTTTTAAATTTATGTACATAATTCTGATAACGATTGTTTCGAAATTAATAAGATATCATGACAACATATGTTTTTATTAATCTATTATATATTAGGGTTTATATGCAGTAGATACATTTAAGGATATGATTTGCAATTTTAATCGCATAAAACCGGCTTTTAATGTATTTTATTATATTATGACTATGATGTAAAGTGTTGAAAAAGTTTTATTGCAATGAAAGTTAAATGTTGTAATTTTTCGCCTTTAAAAAAATTATTTCTTTTATTATAGTATCTGTTACAGATCCCATAATCAACAAAATTTCCTTTCCATTTTCAACAAAAAGTGGAAAATTAAACAATTGAGTTGATGAATATCTATTAAATAGTCTTCTGTTGTATTTATAGAAACTTAAAAATTTTTTTTAAATTGCTAAATACAATCTAAAAAGTCAAAATTGATAAATTCAATATATATAGTTTTTATAAATACATATCAATTTTCCAAAATTTAAATATTTTTTTCTTATTTTGTCATTAGTTATGTTATATCTATTTTAAATTTATTATTATTCTATTAACATCAATTTTTTTGTTAAATTCGTATTTAATTAATTTAAGAAAGATCTTTCATTTTTGGAAATATAATTGAAAACTATTTGGTTAATTGCAATAACATATTTAATTAAATTGTAGCAAAATTTTCAAGAAAAAATCTTGTTGTATTGATTATGATTAATAAGATATTTTTAATTAAATAAAATTTAATTAAATAAAATTATATTAAATTTTGATAAAAAGAAAATGTTATTAATTATATCATTTAGACTCAATTTTCTAACTTTGACCATAAATTTTTTAAAATTATAATATATCGACTAATTTTAAAGCTGGAATCACGTTCAGCATAAAAAAGTTATAGAAATTATTTTTTTTCTTGTATTTTTATATTAAACTGTATAAAATAATTCTATGAGAGCTTTCCCCTATTGTTTGCATTTATATATATATATATATATATATATATATATGTATATATATATATTAATGTGTTAATATCGTCGTTTATTCTTTCTAATAATTAGTATTTAT